TCCTGCAGATTTCCGGGCGATTTCGTGCAGTCGACTTTACATCTCAATCGGAATTGTGCCACTTATGGGTTAGCGCCCATCTATTTGCAAGCTCTTCCATAATAGTCTTCAGTAATCCAAGATGAGGCCCTTTTGATCGTGCATGGCAGCTGCGTTTTTTCAAGGAGGAGACTTTGAATAATTTTGCGGTAGAGGACCATATGTCGCCGAAAGGTGAACCAGTGAGCATCTGCGTCAGCCATCTCTTACAGACATAATAAGTTTGTACCAGTCGTCTTCACGAGGTGAAGCCCAAAGGCGCGATATAGGCAGTACCCATGATCTTGATTTGCAGGTGCTCCCACTTTGACACGAATAAGTGCAAATTTGAGAACTTAAACCATTAATACATTTAGAGCCATGCTAGGCATACAAAGAGCCGCTTGCGTTTGAGTAACCATTGTGCCAAACATACTCCTCCTTGGCAATCGCAAATTCAAGCATGACTTTTCAAAGCTTAAGATCGCGATATATGTATGTCGCGATCTCAAGCTATACATGTATAGAATATAGCGATAGGGATATTTTTGAGGCCACCATCAATATCAAAGCTATTCTATGCATATATCGCTTAAGCGATATATGTATAGAATATCTGTAATATTGATGGTAGTCACAAAAATAATGGATCTTGTTGCGTACAAAGAATCGCTTTGCAAGCTCGTTGGCTAAAACCTTCAGACTGATTGACATGCATGCACCAATTTTGTTGCGTACAAAAAATAGCTTTGCAAGCTCGTTGACTAAAACCTTCAAACTGATTGACACGCATGCACCATACTACTTGTTGAGTCAATCATGCGAGATTTGGAACCCACAAGGGAAGTTCGCTTGTCGAAGTGGCGATTCTGAAGATGATCTGTACCAACAGATAGAGCTTACAACTTTGATATACTATCTGCGGAGCATTTTTCTGAAAAAAGTTATGAGCTCTTCAGTCAAACTTTCGCGCATTTTTGGATCGCAAAATTACGGTCTAGGCTTAAGCAAACCACCTAATGTGCATTGTAGGATTAGTTTTATCGCCTAAACGTAGTGTTGTCCTAGTGTTTCGACAGGTCGTCATGTCCTTCGTAGACGCACCATTGTAAATACAAAAAGTCCAAAACTTTTTAAAGAAAACATATTGCACATACAGAAGATATATAGATCAGTGTTTTAAGCTCTATCCGCTATAGATCATCTTCCAAATCGCCACTGCGACCGAGCGAATCTTCCTTGTTAGAAATGCGAAAGTGGTATTGTTACAAGAATAGGAACTTTACATTCAGCTTTGTTTTCACAGAAACCAACAAAATGTGTCCCTCAAACGCTGGAATGACTGATTCCGCGAGGATGGCCTTTGTAAACCTACAAAATACTTTCAGGTTTTTATTGAGATTTTTGTTATTTTTATTTTTGCTACACTGGAACTTTCTAAGGTCAAGTCTAGCGCGTGGTTTGGAACGCGATGGGCTAGGTGGAAAAGCCCCAAAAGCTTCTAAAATGCTTAGAATGGTAAGCTATGCTGGTGCAATAGTACTGATTAGAGACGATCGCGTGCTTAGTTCAGGTGTACGATTGCTCTATAGAAGCTTCGGCGATGAAGAGTGCTCGAAAGTGTACTTTCGCTCACTCCAATGATTCAGAAAGGCCAGGACTTGGAGAAAACCTCTATATGACAACCATTCTTGATTTTGACAAAATCAAGACTGCTGAGCAGGTTGATGAGATGGTGAGATGAGCGAAAAACAGAACCGTATTAATAGGTTAGGCCTCTCAAAAATGGTGGAGCGAGCTAGAAGAGTTTGGTGTTGGTCCTGAAAATAGGCTTACAATGGCATTATGGAAGAGACGCGACAAGAAAATTGGGCATTACACTCAAGTAAATGGCTCCTATTTCATGCTTCTTTAATTATTCCAAACAAGTTGAGATGGCATGGGACTCCAGCTATAAGCTTGGATGTGCCGTCGTGGCTTGCCCTAAGTTCACATACGGTGTTTGTCAGTATGGACCAAAGCAAGTTTCTGGAACATCAGCATTTACTTGAAGACTGTAAATGCGAGTTCAGAGGTAACTATATCAACGGACAGATCTACAGCATTGGAGAACCCTGCACCGGATGTCCGCACAATTGCGATAACACGAAAGGACTTTGCAATGTTGTTTAAGGAACATCACCTTTTCAATTGTTTAGTTTCTCTATGCATTACAATACTATGTATTTGTTTAGTTTTACGCAATACATCTGATGTTGTATGGTATGCTAGTAAAGAAAGATCGAATTGCTGAAGTGAATGTGAACACCGTTGCCCGCCCCAAAATATTACTGTTCGGGGAGGAGGGAATTTCTTCGATTGAACTGGTTGAACGTGAGATAGAAAAATGATTGTGCAAGTAACTTTTAAAAAGTGTTGCGATTCAATCTAGGGAAGGCGGGCGCCTACCGCTCGGTCGGTCACGGGTGAGCACAATATTGTATATTATTACAAGATTATTTGCTACTTTGTACCTCTTGCGGTGAATAGCAGTATAGTTCAAGACAGCAGGTGAGATAGTGATTCATATTAACTTTGTGGATTTTTCAGGAAATTCCATTTCCATTTCGAAGTCTGATAAGTAGAGCTTGTAAGGGTCGATGTATGATCGGCTTTAAGATTCTTATTGAGGTAGAGAGCGGACTTCTTCTGATGACTTGGATACTTGTCCGGCTTCCAAGATACAGTGCTGCCCGCAGACGGGAATGGTCTCATGCGCACATTGTAGCAGAACAAGCAATCCTCTCCTATAATATAAACCCGATGCGAAAACAC